ATAACCGTGGATGTCCGGGCCAGCTTGTGCGCACCTCGACTAATTCCACGGGGTCCTGAAGTTTACGGCCGGATACTCACCTCAGTGGCCCTGAGGAGACTCGAACTGGTGACCATTAAGTTGAAAATTAAATCAATCTTACACATTAATTAATTTCCATACAAATAAGTTTTAGAGAATTAAATTGCCTAAAATTTATTTATTTATGCAAATTTCATGTTTGCAATCAAACGTATCCTAAGTGTCAACATGTAATTAAATTTTAATTTGTTTTACCATGATCATTGTATTTTTTACTTAGTGTTACCATGACACCAACTTTAATTTGTTTCTTATAAAATTCGGAAAAATAGCACTAGAGGCCACTAACCTTTGAACTTTTGGACGATGGATTTCAGAACTTTGACTTTCAGCTCTCAAAATTCCAAAGCTTTCAAATGGCGTAAATACTTTTGTAACGAAATGTTAATTTGACTCTTAAAAGGTCAGATTTTGATTAAATTGATCAATATACATTTAGTTAGAATTAAAACAAAAGAATATAAATAATATGAAGTAAAACAATAGCATAGTATTAAAGAATGAAGAATAAAAAGTGAAAAACAAAAACTAAGGTCAATCGACACACTTCCTCTCTTTTGCCCGAACCAAATTCACCTACCCCACCCATCAAACACGAAGCTGCCAGTGTCGCTACTACCACCCTCATTAATTCAAATATTAAATGATCGAAAGCAGATAAAATTTAAAAATAATTCATTAGAAAACTTTTATGTTTCATTAAATACTATAAAGTTTTTTTTATGTCCAATTATATTTCTTTTTCTTTTTCTTCTTTATTTATTTGTTTAAATCAAACTAAGGGAACAACCTTTAATTTACTCAAAATTTGACATTTTAATTATCTAACCGACATTTGCGTCAGAAAAGGTCCTCGGGCATAGACATTGAAAGCTTTGGGACTCTAAGTACTACAAATCAAAAGTTCGGGATCCAATGTCAAAATGTTCAAAGGTTAGGGAATGATTATTAGGAGTTGTTTTATAAAAAAAGAAATTCTAAATTTTGATCAACTAGTCAAAAATCAATTTTAACCACATTTCGCGAGATCCGCAACTATTATTAAATTTTCAACCACGTATTATATAAACTTTTATTAAAACCAGTAAATCTTTTTTATCGAAAGCTTTGTGAAACAACCCTTTATGAACTTTCTATGAACGTTTTAGAAGGAATAGTGGTGGAGACCAGAAAATGTGTGGATAATATTGAGTAATAATTTTGGATGTATGCTAAAATTAAAGTTTGACTTTGACTACTTTTAATTTCCTAAAAATGTTTTCAAACATAGGACTTAATTATATTAGGGGAATTTTCATAAATGCCAC